ACTTAACACAGAACAAAGTTTCCTTCATAAAACACTGAAAACATTAATTGTACAGTAGTGCGATGTTCTTTAGTAGTGCTTTATAAAAGTAGTGCTTTATAAAATAGACTGACCAAATATACTGTAATCCTATCACTTTTGTTCACTCAACAATTATTAATCTTTAGTAAAACCAAACAGTAAATCATTATATGAGCCAAGCAGCTCCATGATGGCCGCTATCACGGCTGACAGACTGCTTGTTTCCGACAGTAGACGAAATGAAGCAACGTAACTTAACTAATACCTACACCTCTTATATTCAGTTTGTCGGGTCATGTCATCTGCTGTCTACTAAAAACAGATAATGTAGTGTTTCTCATTACCCAGCCCAGATGATGTAGTGTTTCTCATTATCCAGCCCAGATGATGTAGTGTTTCTCATTATCCAGCCCAGGTGATCTAGTGTTTCTCATTATCCAGCCCAGGAGACGTAGTGTTTCTCATAAACCAACCCAGGTGATGTAGTGTTTCTCATTACCCAACCCAGATGATGTAGTGTTTCTCATTATCCAGCCCAGGTGATGTAGTGTTTCTCATTAACCAGCCCAGGTGATGTAGTGTTTCTCATTAACCAGCTCGAAGGAGGTAATATTTCTCAGCTGACCAGAAGACTTAATGAAGACGTAATCATTTATTTGTGTTACCCAGAGTTACAAATTGAGACATTTTAATAAACCTTTGTTGATGTACGTTACAAACTCCCTCTAATAGTAGTAAATGTAAACACGGGCTGAATTTACAACAAGTCATCTTCAATTTGAGGAGATAGACAAGAGCAAAACCGTCACACATGTATACATTGTAGATAGATAGTGCTGGTACCTAAGTATTATACCTAGACAGTGCAGACATACAAACAATGGTAAATAAAAAGTCGATTCAACCAAGGAGAACAAACAGTTACTGAAATTCCTACAATATAAAGACAAGATGGACACTTACAGGAATGCCCAATAGATTTCATTCATGTTATTGAAGGTATTCTACTTAATCATTCTAATCACATGTCAATCATTTGGTATGATGAACATACTTCCACTAACCAATTTTACAGCCGTTAGGCTAAACAATGATTTGAGGACAGAAACTCTCTAATCAAGCATTATTTATGTGAACCTTCCACACACATACGCACACAGTAAATATGTTAATTTTCATCGCGTATGTCAGTAACACTTCCTTGACAGAAACAAAACTCCTGACGTTGAATGTGTCGTGCAGCACACGTGAGCCTCATCACAAGACGGTACAAATGCCTGAGTTAACCAGAAACCAGTTAATTATTTAAGTTATTATTATTTAATTTCTATGCCTGTCGAGTATATGGGGATGATATATTGACTTGCATCTGTGTACTTCCGTCTGGCCCAAGACTGTAAGCAGGATTATATACCAAATGCAGCGTCAAATAATTTTATATATTGGTGGCGCCCTTCAGTGTACAGTACCCTTGGAGTATATTACCTGATCACATCTTACAATTTGTGTGGTGGATTTTAGTCGGTGCTGACATATTTTAAGTTTCTCAAACACAACTAATTGTTATTATATTTTTTCAATCATATTTTGTCAACAGATGGAGTTTTTAATTTTGAATAAAAACAGAACCAGTATTGCTTCTGAGAAAATAAATACATAATAAACATTGGCCAAATAATAATAACGGACATTCGTTGTACTCTCTGAGGTCATAGCTACTGGACTGTACTTATGAGGAAAAGAGCAAACTGAAGGAAATTGTCGGGAGGAACTTAAGGAACTCACTTGGTTACTGTACTGTGCCGCCTCCGTCGGATATATTGTAAGGACTTTACACTTACACACGAGCCACACGACACAGACAAAGGCGAGAAAACTATTACACAGAAGAAAATATAAAAAGGGAGTGTAGGGTGAGAGAGTGTAGGTAATAATAACACATCTGCCACACTTATATCCTATTTTCCAAAAGATGTCATGCGGTGAGCCATGGCCGCGATATTCCTCTCCAACACCACTCGCTGCTCCTCTTTCCATAGAAGGTAACTTAAACCTCGTGCAGCAGGACGTGATCCACTATACTTTTTGGTGAGCACCTTCACAGCACAGTGTATGTCTGATTAATAATTCAATTAAAGAAATACACAAATATATAAAATTAAATGTGTGTGTGTGTGTGTGTGTGTGTGTGTGTACTTTATCAGGTGTGGGACTCAGTAGTACAAGATAATTTGGCATTACATTATGTCTTGCGTTATAATATTCCTCACTGCTAATATTATGTACTATTTCACTCACTGGTAGTACCCCAGTCACTGTGTCTGTGTTCTTCAGGTAGAGTCGTCTGTAAATTTCTTTATACCCTGTACTGTATATCTCTGGGCTTCGCATCACCGGAATATTAGCCCAACCTTATTTCACATGGAGCAACTTTCACCCTAACACTGGTCCTCCTGCCCCGGCCCCGGACCCGGCCCCTGCGACATATCAATACAACAATGTTAAAGAAAAACTTTAACATTTATCTTATATTGATTTACAGTTGTCTGGTATATGCTTAGGAAGGGTTCTTTTTAATACCTAATTCTAATAATAACATTCTACGCATTTTAAGTCTTAATTTTATATACAAAAAAGGGGGGGGGGGAGCCAAGAATTGATCTCACGGTGGTTGGTGACTGCTTGGTGAGCGAGGCCGTGGCGCTAGGGGAGGGAACGAGGGTGAATAATTCTATCTTTCAGTCTGGAGGGGCGGCCATACAGCTGCTGAAGGATATAAAAACAAACAATATTGCCACTGGTAAAATTAATATATGAAGAAGGTTTGAAAGAGTGATGTCATCACCTGAGTACGCTGCCACTACTGTACACTACTAAGCCAGGTGGCTTCCCTGACGGCACCCAAGGATAAAATGAATGTCTTCGCCCAAGAAGCGACTTACAATACCCACAGCCTCGTGTCCTGCATAATAGAGCTCCAGCTGCCCCCCCACCACCACACACACCGGCTACCGTGAAAAGAATACTGATCCTCGCCGATATCAACGACCCTTTCCGAACTGTTTCACATTAACCTAAATCACGCCTTAGCATCTTTCCATCATTCAGAACCAAATAAAACAAAAATTTCAATACATATCGACAATATCAAGAGACTTTTCATTTATGATCACCAACAATGAATAGGAGTCGTGAAAGAAGGGTGTGTGTGTGTGTGTGTGTGTGTGCGTGTGTGTGGTGACCTATGGTGTAATGGTCAGTATGCTTGCCTGGCAAGCGAGCGGACCCTGATTCGATCCCGGGCAGGGTGAAACTACGGGTAAATTTTATGACGATATCCAGTAGTGCAGTGAAGTAATTAAGCCAGTATGGAACATTATAGCCAGACAAGTTGGTTGTTTGAGGAATTAAAACATTTTGACACAGAACGAGCATAACTTACGTTTTATTTTTCTCACGAAACGACGCAACCATTTGTCTACAAGTCTGGACTCCGACTGAGGAAGGAGCCCAGCCAATACCTCACACAGCCCTGGGGCATGAGCCAACGCACACATGACTCTCGGGAGTACAAGTGACCCAACAACGAGAATCACAACAGAATATATAGTTATGTTCCATTTGACGTGTACTTACTCTTGGTTTGTCCTTAGCCCATCACAATGTCCCAGTTTTATGACGTAATTTAAGCAGGTATAAGCTTGACAACAGCCAATTACAATTACTTTTTAATTTAAGTTTAATTACAATTATATTTACTAAAAATTTGGTAATTTAATTACATTCAGCTTCAATTACAACTACTCCAAGCCTGGCCAGCACATGACGGAAACAAGAAACCCCGTTTACTGTATATGAAGACACTCACGCCATCACAGACAAGGAAAGGTGTAGGGAAATATATATTGAAACGAAGAACCAACAAAATATATATAAAGAATATAATAAACACAAAAATTATTGCAAATCGACGATGAAATTAAAGTAGTAAACACCCCCAAATTTCTGCAAGTTTGTCAGCAACTTTGTAACTCAGGCAGATGAGAATGAGAGGAGTGTGGCTGCTGTTTTAAGAGTTCTTCTCAAGTGTGTTCATGACGCTGCCAGCTCATTCAGGGAGACCAACACCTTCCATTGACTCCATGAAATATCTAGACTACTTCATTATGCAGAGGAGAAAGTCAGAAAAAAAACAGGCATATGAAGATCAAGGGACAAGTCGTGATGTAATACAGCCGAGGTTACTGAGTCACCGCGGCGCACGATGGTGAACACGTTCCTCACAGCTATACCAAACTACCGCAGGAATGGAAAACTGCCAAGATAACTGTCCTATTTACTGCCAAGTTTGTCAATAAGCTTTGATAGATAGTTTCATATACTGACACTCCAATCACTTGACCATAATACAACCGTTGGTTTTTATTAATCACCATTAATATTTGTGACATAATATCGAACCAACAAATAAATCATGTAAACTAATTGCATCTAACACAACAAATGTATGGAAAGTTACATCAGTTTGTCTTAACTATCTGTGAACAACTTATAGAAGTTATTAATAAAGTAAATGTTACCACTGTGCGTGAACTTCCCGCGTGGTGTGTAGTCCATGACGGCAGGAGTGAAGCCATCAAGGTAACACCTACTGTACGCTTTCGCATTCCATTGGATAACTTTCTTTGATAAAGCGAGTTACTTCTATTTGGTCTTGTAGAGAGTGAGGACACGTAGAAGAGTACGAGTATGTACAACAATAGGAGGGCTCATTACATAGCATTAATCAGTGGATAAACGCCAAACTGTTGATGTTTGGCTTAGAATAATTCGAACAAATTGTGGTGCATTTTCACCAAACCCAGACCATACCGATAGTAAGAATAACTTAAGAATTAAATTAATCGACATTGAAGGTAACACCAAGAGGCTGTACTGCACCTGTTAGCTTAACGGTCAACAGAGAAAAGATAACTTACCTTTCCACATCAGTGCGTCCCTTTTCTTCCTGCCTGTAGTGCGACACCTTCCTGACCGGTGCGCCTTCCTGGTTTCGCTGATACCCGCTATCATGCCCCTGCTCGTGTTCAAATGTATGGTCTTGGTCACATCTGTGTTCGTGTTCCGTGACATACTTATGGTACTCCTCGTGGGCGTATGTGTTGAGGCGTCTGAGTGGCTCGTGTTTGGGTCTAGGAGCGCTACGTTGAGACAAGCTACGGTGGTGGTGAGGGGAACGGTGTGGGTCAGTGGGGTCGTGTCTTATACAGTTATGATGGTTTGGGTGGTCGTGGGGACTGTGTTTTGTAGGACCTGAGTGACTATGGGGTTCTGAATGATCATGGTGGCTGTGTTTTGAGCGTCCAGAGTGACTATGGTGGTCTGAATGATCATGGTGGCCGTGTTTTGAGTGGCCGTGGGGGCCATGTCGTGAGTGACCGTGGTGATGGTCTGAATAAGTGTCGTGTTTTTTGTGGTAGTAGTCGTCTCTGTAGTAATCACTATACCTGGAGTCGTCGTAGCGTGGTTCGCTAAGTTGTCGGTGGAGCTTCTGCTGGACGTTGCGGCGGCTGTTGCGGTACAGGGGCTTCTGAAGGATGTAACTTTTACCCAAGTGGCGGTGATCATCCCTGAACATGCTGGAGGGTGCCTGGGGGGGCCTGGTATGATGCCCGGAGGAACCAGAGCCGCGCGCCCTAGTGCCAACCTCATAAATGTTACTGATGCTTCGGGACAAGACCTGCTCCCTGGGCAATGGGGGAGCCATGTTTGACCTGGTCGACTTAGTGGACTCGCTGCGGGCAAGTTTTATGAATGGATTACTTATTAGTTTCTGTAAGATGCCCGGAGTATTGTCTTCATTACCAACGTAAAAAGTTGGCCTCAAAGATGTTTGCTTCTTCTCCTTCTTAGATTCTTCCTTGGATGAAAAAGACGTTTCCTCTTGTTTCTCGGTGCCCTCAGAGTCCGACGGAGAGTATTCAGGTCGCCCTTTTGAAGTGCTGCGCTTTCTGAGAGTTGGAGGAGTGACAGGACTTGTATGATCCCCATTGAGATTATTCAGAACTTGGTCGAGCTCTGTACCACAGCTACCAGACCGAAAAATCTCATTTTTGACAACAGATAAACACTCTGGATCAGAGCTTCTTCTGGGAGACTCTGGGGACAACTGGTCTTCTGGTCCTCCCTGACTTACTGTGTCCGGCTCGTCGGCTATAAAACCTAGATTCTCTTGTCCTCCAACTTTATTCATAGATTCTTTCGTTTCATTTATCACTTTCTTTGTTTGGATTTTACCAACTTCCTCTTCCTCTACATAAAATATCACACTTTTTAATTTACCACTTCTATCGCTCTGTTGGTCGTCACAGGTGAATCCACTTTCAACACCCACCAAACCGTCACTTTCTCCGTCATGGACAATGTTTACGACTGTCATACCAGCAGTGTCGTATGACTCAGACTGCAGATGTGTGTCCTTGGGTGAGGCATCATAGGAGGCCTTGTTAGGTACTTGTCTTTGGTCATTAAGGATCTTCATGTTTACGTCAATCAGCTCGCCGTCGTTCCAGGAGTTCCGCACGGGGTCAACAACCTCTCTCACCGCCACCTTCATAACTGTTTGTCGGTAATATTTATCTTCATCACAGAGACTTTCGTCCAAAGAACGCAATATCACAGGATCTTCTAAAATTTCTGGGAGGGACTTCTCAACACCGAAGGATGTTGTATATGCCTTCCTCCTCACCCTCTTAGCTGGAAGGGACAAACATGTGTCCTTCTCAGCATCTGAGTTATCCTGGAGAGTACCTGTGACGTGGCCACTAATCTCGTTACCTATTTGAACTGGTGGTGTCGAGGTGGCTCTGGTTTGTTGTGGCTGAAGACGTGAGGTAGCAGAGCTAGCCTGGGGCTTGACTCCTGCAACTAATACTTCCTGGAGTGAAGGGTGGACTGGGCTCTTGTCTCCCACCATGGGTCTTGCTCTCAAAAGAGGAGGACGATGACCCGGGTTATACTCAGTTAAAGATAGAGTGGTTGGCTTTGACAACACATCGGCATTAAGCGCAGGAGTATCACAACTTTGATTCAGGGGGGTGAAGCATCCGTCATCACTGAAACTGTGGTAAGGCGACGGCTGCTGTATCTCACCTTGATGAACCGTCTCTGGTGAGCTCGGTGTACCTGGCCCAAAATCTTCAGCGCACGAAGGAGATGTTATCTCCAGTGTCTGCTTTGGTGAACTGAGCGGTGTGTTAGGCCGGTGTTCCGTGGTACACGTTCCACAGGGTGGGTGCAACTCAAGAGGAAAGGCGTCACGACATTCAGCACAAGGCTCCACTGGCACCGGTGGCGTCACTGGCTCTCCCTTCGAGTGAAACTCCGTAAGGGCGTTACTAATACTGGAGGGTGTTGAGAAACCTTGGCGGGAGGTTGCGTCATCGGCGTGACAACGGTAACACACTTCACCCACTCCATCTGGCGCACTGCTAACACACCCATATAGTCTGTGTTCTAGCTTCACTGTGTCACAAGTGACTCTCAGGTGAGGATCAGGTGAGTCCAGCATGGTGGGGAGTACTGTCACGTCCGAGTCGGTGATGTCCTGGGCGTCTGAGCCTAAAACGTCAGCTGGTGTGAGTGTGTCCGTGTTGTCAACACTGTCAGTATACTGTCCTTCTTGCCCGGTGTATGTTGGCGCGTGTTGGAAAGAATGTGTAAGTGTATGGTGGTGTGTGGTGGGTGAGGTGTGACCACTGGTGACAGGTGAATTATCGCCTGAACAGATGTACACAGCGTCCAGCTCCAGGCTAGAAAACGTAGGTTGATCGTCCGCCATCTTCGGTCATACCACTCACCTGTAAAACATTAAAACAACTCTCAGTACAGTACATAATTAGAAGGCAAGTAAGTGTATATCTTCACTGATGTTGATATCTATCTATATAAAACAAAGAAGTATGTCTGTTTGTGTGTCCACACGAGAATCTCGGAAACTACTTTACTGATCTGTAGTGATGATGGATGGTGTTATATGTAGTGATGATGGATGTTGTTATATGTAGTGATGATGGGTGGAGTTATATGTAGTGATGATGGATGATGTTATATGTAGTGATGATGGGTGGAGTTATATGTAGTGATGATGGATGATGTTATATGTAGTGATGATGGGTGGAGTTATATGTAGTGATGATGGATGATGTTATATGTAGTGATGATGGGTGGTGTTATATGTAGTGATGATTAGACAATAAAATAATAACAGTTTAATGCTAAAAAAATATACTTTGCTGTACCGTTGTAGTGAAAAACATGGTGGAACTTATATACACCGTTAATGAACTATTGATGGAAGAAGAAGTTTCGGGAACTGAACAGTGAGGGTGGCGTCCTACCGTTGCCTAGCGGATGAGCCACGATTCTGCTAGTGGTACATATAACATAGTACGGTGTCGCCTCTGAACTGAATAAAATCATCTGTCGTTAACCAAATAAAATATTAAAAATGACGACCCTGTAGTGAAGATGTTAATGTTGTGGAAAAATGTATTATGAAATATTTCAACTATGAAGACGAATCCGTTTTTAATTTTGTTTATTGTAGTTTATCTTGTGTTGTCTGTGTGTTGAGGACAATGTGTAGAAAATTGATCTGTAAATTTGTATGGCTTACACATCAGTAGGGTAGAGAAACAAGACACATATTTTATTATATTTTATTTATGTGTTTTACATATATAGACCTCACCCTCACCTCTCCTCTGTGATGATGAGCTTGGTTTGAGGCAATTTTTTAGCCTTAAGCACCTGTGAGTATGACATCACAGGTCCATTTTCGGGTTTGGTTTGGGGTCCTTTTACGGCCTGAACCACCTTAGGCTTCTCTTGTGGTGTAGTTATGGGAGCGGGGTTTTCTGACACCGAACAGCGATTTCCACGTTTCCGGGGAATCCTCTGGGGCTTTGGTGCGAGTTGGGGTCCTTTTATGGCCTCAACCACCTTAGGCTTCTCTTGTGGTGTAGTTATGGGAGCGGGGTTTTCTGACACCGAACAGCGATTTCCACGTTTCCGGGGAATCCTCTGGGGCTTTGGTGCGAGTTGGGGTCCTTTTATGGCCTCAACCACCTTAGGCTTCTCTTGTGGTGTAGTTATGGGAGCGGGGTTTTCTGACACCGAACAGCGATTTCCACGTTTCCGGGGAATCCTCTGGGGCTTTGGTGCGAGTTGGGGTCCTTTTATGGCCTCAACCACCTGAGGCTTCTCTTGTGTTGTGGTTTGAGGCTGTACTTTATCCTTAACCAAGTGTGAGTATGACATCACAGGCCCATTTTGTGGCTTGGGTTGGGGTTGTTTTGTAACCTGTGTTGGTTTGTTTCGCTCTTTCTCGTCAAGATCAACTAACTCGAGCCATGAGAGGCTCGAGTTAGCATAAGCGACAACGTCCAAAACTTCTGTGTAAGTCATATTGCTCAAGTAATTTTTGTTTTATAAAAACTGTTATAACGAAGTACAATACAGACTTTGCTCACCGAGCTTCAGGACCTCATGAAAAAATATCGAGGTAAACACGATTTTGTGACATAAAACCAAATAATGTAGGTTGGAACAGTGTAGTATAGTATAGAGGAGTAGTGCCGTGGTGAAGATACAGTATATAGTGATAGTAACGAACATAGAGTTTATAGTAACAGTCGTGAGGTACAGTATATAGTGATAGTAACGAACATAGAGTTTATAGTAACAGTAGTGACGTACAGTATATAGTGATAGTAACGAACATAGAGTTTATAGTAACAGTAGTGAGGTACAGTATATAGTGATAGTAACGAACATAGAGCTTATAGTAACAGTAGTGAACATTGTGTATAGTAACAGTAGTGAAGATTGTGTACAGTAACAGTAGTGAACATTGTGTATAGTAACAGTAGTGAACATTGTGTATAGTAACAGTAGTGAACATTGTGTATAGAAACAGTTGTGAACATTGTGTAGTAACAGTAGTGAACATTGTGTATAGTAACAGTAGTGAACATTGTGACAGTAGTGAACATTGTATAGTAAATGTGAATAGTAACAGTAGTGAACATTGTGTATAGTAACAGTAGTGAACATTGTGTATAGTAACAGTAGTGAACATTGTGTATAGTAACAGTAGTGAACATTGTGTATAGTAACAGTAGTGAACATTGTGTAATAGTAGTGAACATTGTAGTAACAGTAGTGAACATTGTGTATAGTAACAGTAGTGAACATTGTGTATAGTAACAGTAGTGAACATTGTGTATAGTAACAGTAGTGAACATTGTGTATAGTAACAGTAGTGAATATTGTATATAGTAACAGTAGTGAACATTGTGTATAGTAACAGTAGTGAACATTGTGTATAGTAACAGTAGTGAACATTGTATATAGTAACAGTAGTGAACATTGTGTATAGTAACAGTAGTGAACATTGTGTATAGTAACAGTAGTGAACATTGTGTATAGTAACAGTAGTGAACATTGTGTATAGTAACAGTAGTGAACATTGTGTAGTAACAGTAGTGAACATTGTGTATAGTAACAGTAAACATTGTGTATAGTAACAGTAGTGAACATTGTGTATAGTAACAGTAGTGAACATTGTGTATAGTAACAGTAGTGAACATTGTAGTAACAGTAGTGAACATTGTGTATAGTAAATTGAACATTGTGTATAGTAACAGTAAAACATTGTGTAGTAACAGTAGACACATGTATAGTAACATAGTGTATACAGTAACAGTAGTAGTAACATTGTGTAGTAACAGTAGTGAACATTGTGTATAGTAACAGTAGTGAACATTGTGTATAGTAACAGTAGTGAACATTGTGTATAGTAACAGTAGTGAACATTGTGTAGTAACAGTAGTGAACATTGTGTATAGTAACAGTAGTGAACATTGTGTATAGTAACAGTCGTGAACATTGTGTATAGTAACAGTAGTGAACATTGTGTAGTAACAGTAGTGAACATTGTGTATAGTAACAGTCGTGAACATTGTGTATAGTAACAGTAGTGAACATTGTGTATAGTAACAGTAGTGAACATTGTGTATATAGTAACAGTAGTGAACATTGTGTAGTAACAGTAGTGAACATTATGTATAGTAACAGTCGTGAACATTGTGTATAGTAACAGTAGTGAACATTGTGTATAGTAACAGTAGTGAACATTATATATAGTAACAGTAGTGAACATTGTGTATAATATCAGTAGTGAAGATTGTGTACAGTAACAGTAGTGAAGATTGTGTATAGTAACAGTAGTGAAGATTGTGTATAGTAACAGTAGTGAACATTGTGTATAGTAACAGTAGTGAACATTGTGTGTAGTAACAGTAGTGAACATTGTGTATAGTAACAGTAGTGAACATTGTGTATAGTAACAGTAGTGAACATTGTGTAGTGAACAGTAGTATTGTGTGTAGTACAGGTAAACAGGTGAACACAGTATAGTAACAGTAGTGAACACATTGTGTATAGTAAACAGTAGCGTGAACATTGTGTAGTAACAGTGAGTGAACATGCAGGTAACACAGTGTGAACATTGTGTATAGTAATAGTAGTGAACATTGTATATAGTAACAGTAGTGAACATTGTGTATAGTAACAGTAGTGAACATTGTGTATTGTAACAGTAGTGAACATTGTGTATAGTAACAGTAGTGAACATTGTGTATAGTAACAGTAGTGAACATTGTGTATAGTAACAGTAGTGAACATTGTATATAGTAACAGTAGTGAACATTGTATATAGTAACAGTAGTGAACATTGTGTAGTAACAGAAGTAAATGTGTAGTAACAGTAGTGAATACTATTGTATAGTAACAGTAGTGAACATTGTGGTATATAGCAACAGTAGTGAACATTGTATAGGTGCGAACATTGACAGTATAAGTAACAGTAGTGAACATTGTGTATAATAACAGTAGTGAAGATTGTGTATAGTAACAGTAGTGAACATTGTGTATAGTAACAGTAGTGAACATTGTGTATAGTAACAGTAGTGAACATTGTAGCATAGTAACAGTAGTGAACATTGTGTATAGTAACAGTAGTGAACATTGTATACACTAACAGTAGTGAACATTGTGTATAGTAACAGTAGTGAACATTGTGTATAGTAACAGTAGTGAACATTGTGTATAGTAACAGTAGTGAACATTGTATATAGTAACAGTAGTGAACATTGTGTATAGTAACAGTAGTGAACATTGTATATTGTAACAGTAGTGAACATTGTATATAGTATCAGTAGTGAACATTGTATATAGTAACAGTAGTGAATAAGTCTAGACGGGTCCGTCCCTCGTAACGATCATCGAGAGGTAGGTACTTCCCCGTCTGGTCCCCGAGATATGCTAATGCTAGAGACGCCTGTAGACTCACCTTTGAAGATTAACAGTATGCAAAATGACCTCTGATAATTCCACCGGGTAAAGAAGCAAACAAGACAGAAGAAGACTGTGTGACTAATTGTATCCCCATGAAGACCTATGTCCCATGGGAATACCTCAATGAGTACCAGGCTACACGCAGCTCACAGGACCACCCCGCCCTGTGCTTCGCTGTAGTTGTCCTACTGCGCCGTCTACAACAAGTACTGTGGTATAATTGACGACAAGCCTACAGAACGTACTTTATGCTTGAAATATAGAGCTGGGAAATCAAGGAGTCTGACGGTAAGATTTCAGGAAGCAAAAGCATGTAGGTGTATGGACTGGGAGGTGTACACGCGTCACACCTCAGATACCCTTGACTCTCCCCCTCCAATACTGAAGGTCAAGATTGATTATGATACAGATTGTGTTCCTTTTTAAACCGAGAAACCAG